TGGCCGACAGTGGCTCACTGATGGTCGGCAGTGTTTCGTCCTTGGCCGGCATGGCACATTTTTGGCCGGCAGGGGGCCGACAGCAAGCATTCATGGCCGGCAGGCCACTGGTGCAATCCTCAGCATTGGTTTGGTAAGGTGGAGCAAAAGGTTCTGGAGTGTAGTCAACCCTGTAAACAGAGCCTCTCAAGAGAAAACCGGAAGGCTTTTCGAGGCGAGAACCGAGCGCATGCATCTTCTACTTCCCGAAGCAGAGTAGTAACAGCATAGTTTAATATGTTAATTACATAGTTAATTTGCATTGATTATTGTAATAATTAAGTAGCTTAGCTCAGCTATTTTTTTATTCATTTGATTTGTAATAATTAGTCTAATTAGTTTAATTAGATTAGTGTTATTAGCTTAGCTTAGCTTAGCTTAAATTAGCTTAGCTTATTCATTCGAACCGTCCTTCGTGAAGGCAAAATGTTATAATAAGTGTGCGTGTGTATGTGCATGTCTTCCAACCCCACATCTTTCTCCCATTTATTTAACCGCTTTCGATGGTTAGTTTAGGGACATTTTCATTTAGCATACCTTATACTTGCATGTTTGCATCATTCATTTGTATTGCATGCACCAAGGCTCGGCGCATGATTCAAACTGCATCGTATTTCAATACTTCTTTGAATACGTGTATCAATTGTTGCATTCATATGCCATCTTAGTAGCCGAGCCTATTAATTTCATGTTGCATGTGTTGCATTAGGCATCTTAACATAGTTAGGATCATGTATTATTTCTAACTAGTTTTTGTTTTGGCTTGGAGTACTCAGGGAGTTTTATGCTTTAGCTTACTTGCATGAGTGTGAGTGATGCCATGATAACATGCTTGCCATGAGGCTATTTCCTTAAATGATTAACTGTATGAATGCCTCTAGATAAAGGCTTGATTACTGGAATTGGAATAATTCAATGATTGTGAGTTTTAAGCCCACTTTGCAAAGTGGCAAATCATGTTTTAAGCCCACCTGAGGGTGGCAAATTTGCATTTCTAAGCCCACTTGAGGGTGGCAAATTCAAACCATTTTCAAAAACAAACATGAGTTGAATTCGTTCCAATTCTTGCGACATAGTCTATACTTGTATGTATGCGTCACATAGTAAAGTTAGCTAATAATCGGAATAAGAACAGATGTGCTTATAAAACAACATATCATGCTTAGTGGAGGTCGATCCTTTGATCGGGCGAGCGGAGGTGCTCATTTTAGGATCTTTCCCTCTCGTACCCAAGTTCTCGAGCCGAGGCAACTTTGTTGATGACGGACACGTGGCCTTTGGCACGAGTTAGGGTTTCTTAAATTTTTCCAAAATAAAATATTTAGGTGGCGACTCTGTAATCTGGCAAAGCAGTCCAGTTTTGGCATTGTTTGATTCAAAATTTGATTTTCCAAAATGATTTGTAGGATTGGACTCTTTGGTGTTTATCAGTTTCACATTGCACTTTGTGAAATTAAATTCAAAACCATGATAGGAGTCCGAACTGTAGGACCAATTTGAGCTCTCCAAAAAGAGGCCCGAAAAAGTTGAGCCCATACCTTTCTTAATCTGGGGAATCGACATCATTGGGGAAGTCACACCGAAAGGGTCGAATAGGCATGAATACATTCTGGTGGCAATTTATTACTTCACAAAGTGGGTGAAAGCTTAGTCCTACGCAGTGTTAAAAGTAGTGCATGTGGCTAAGTTCATCCAAAACAATATCATTTGCCTTTATGGAGTCCCAAATGAGATCATCTCAGATAATGGCTCCTATTTCAAGAAAGAAGTGATAGACTTGTTGGAGAAATACAATGTGGCTTTCCATAAGTCATCTACATACCAGACGAAGCTGTTGAGGCCGCTAACAAGAACATTAAGCATATTTTGCAGAAAATGGTTGAGACTTACAAGGATTGGCCAGACAAATTGCCATTCGCACTCTGGGGCTATATAACTTCAATCCGGACGTCTACAAGGGCAACTCCTTATTCTCTTGTCTATGGGATGGAAGTTGTTCTGCCAATCAAAATAGAAGTCCCGTTGCTGCTAGTTATGGCTGAGTGTCAAAGAGTAGAGGCAGACTGGCAACAAAGCAAGTTCGAAGAACTGATGCTGTTTGATGAGAGAAGATTGAAAGCATTGTACCATGTTCAGGGTTATCAACGCAGGATTACCAGGGTTTTTAACAAGAAAGTTAAGTCTTGGAATCTTAAAGAAGGGTATTTGGTGCTGAAAGACAACCGAGCTCCCATCCATGACCCTAGGGGCAAGTTCAAATCCAATTGGATTGGTCCTTACATCATCAAAACTATCTGGTTGGGTAGAGTTGTTGTCCTCATGGACTTGGATGGCCTAGAATTTTCCCAACCGATCAACATGGACAAGTTAAAGAAATACTATCCTTGAAGGCTCGCTAGGCTGAAAACCCAGAAGGGCAACCTAGGCAAAAATAAGAGCACAAAAATTAGAAATAAAGAAAAACTGAGCTCGCAAGGTTGAAAACCCTAAAAGGCAACCTTGGCAAAAGTTAGAGCGCAAAGGGGAGAGAAGAGTTAATACTCGAGTGAACCCGAACCAAACTACGTAAGGCATGATTTCTATCTTCGGGATATGTAGGCAACTTCATCTTGAAGTCCGGCCGTAAATACCTCCAAATCAACTGTCCTGTCCATGAGTTTGATCAAGTCATCTTTTCCTGTTCTCTGCCTGAGGGTTCGGTTATGATCTTTACTCTAAGAGAAGAGCTAGTTACAATGTTGAACAGTGTTATTCAGTCAAGGGGCAATTTGTGATCTTCGAATTCGGGGTTGTACATCTCGAGGATAGATTTTGTGTGTGTCAAGTGGTGATCCTTTTCGAACATGGCTTTGAAAAGTTTTGATAAAAGTTAATTTTTGTTCAAATTTTACCTTTTACAACTTAGACCATTTTTGGAGCAAAAGGAAAATTTTCAGTAATCACAACTTTAATTTTATTGATTTCAAAACAAAGTTCTCCAACTCTCGATACAAATCAAAGTTGTTTTTATTAAATTCATAAAAATTGAAAAGTAAGATCAAAGCAATAAACTAGGGGTATAGATGAGTCAGGTGCCCCTGCGTCCCCCGCTTGTGCTTGTGAAAGCTTCTAATGCCAAAGTGGGCTCGGTTGGTGCCTCATCTTCGAACCAAGTCAGGCACTCGCCAGAAAGGGCGCCGCTGAAACTAGGGGCAGGAGCCAGAAGCTCTCTTGTCCTCCAAGCAGTAAGGTACCTAGCCAAATGTGAACCTCAGATGAGAAATGAAACCGGGTACTCTACCTTCTCCTCTGGGCAAGTTTGATCATGTCCAAACTGACGCTTGAATCGGAACGAAAAGTAGAATACATAGTGTGTTAGGCCGATTAACTGAAGGCTAGGTTTTTTTTTTTTTTTTGATCGGAACTGAAGGCTAGGTTGCTGAGTCATGTTATAGCTCATTTCGGTCGGATTAAGCCAGGAGCAACGCCAAGCAATGTCAGCAGCAAACCTGTTGCACATCCAGTGGCACCACCATCTCTCATTTAGGAAATCCACTAGCTGTTGGTAGAAAAAGTATGCTCGAGCTGAGTATGCAGGGCAAGAGTCCACTACCTTTAGTTTGTCCATAAGCCACATATGGGAAGGGACGAAAGAAAAGAGAGATGTACGTTGAAAGAAAAGTGAGAAAAGGGCTTTGAGAGAAAAATAGAGCATGAGTGTTGAGAGATGTGAGAAACACAAATTAGAAAGGGTGGGAAACATTACCTAAAGGAGTAGTGGACTCCCTGTGAATTTCGTGGTCTTTCGCCGATGGAAGGTGTCTAGGCCTATCAAAGTCTCAGCCAGCACCAAGCCAATGCAACTCTTGCCCTCTTTCAGGCCTTGCGCCACTTCGACTAGTCGAATGCTAGACCCTTCGAAACTAGGGGCAAGAAGGAAATGAGCCAGCATACATAAGCAAATGGCGTGTTGCCTTAAACCCCGCCAAAGAAGATTACCTTGGTCACCAACATTAGAAAATCGATGAATCAGACTAGGAATATCCAGCTCTCCATTGTGGACCAAGGATCGAGCCTCGTGAAAAGTGAGCTCACACATCCGTCCCAAAGCTTGGATGTGGCCGAAACAAGGCTGAGGTATGATTTCCTCATTGCACCGGGATTCCATTAACTCCTGAAATTCATCAATTGTCAGACATATCTCTTGTCCCCTGAAGCTAAAAACGTATGTAATCAGGTTCCAACATCTAGCCGTGGCATGAAGGAACGGAAAACAAAGCAGAGAACGGCTCAGCAGGAAAAGTGCATTTATGCCGAAACCCCAGAAATTCATCTTTGCCGAGCCGTCTAAAGTCGTAATCCAATTTGAGAGTTTTTCGACGAAAAATGGCTCCATTTGTGAAGAATTTGCAGCTGAAATGAAGAAATCACGAAGCTCAACCTTTTGTAGAAGATAAGGTAGTAAGTGGAAGCCAGCTGTCAATAATCTTGAGGTTCTTCACATTGGTGGCTAGAAGGCCACTACTGTGGCCAGCAGGCCACTTTTATGTTCGGCAGGCCACTGTTGGTTGCCGGCAAATTCCATCCATGGCCGGTAGATGGCCGGCTAGTTCTTTATGTATCCGATAGCTTTCTTATCTGTCCTGTTGTCCACCTATGTGCTGAAAAGTAGGGGTAGCTTGTGTTTTGTCATGTCTTTTGTGTTTTCAATGGTCTTGCTTTGAGTCCTTTTGTTTTGTTTTTTTTTAACAAGCTTGTCATGTTGTATTTGAGTTGTTTTGTTTATCGAGTTGTTGCTACTTTGTTAATCGAGTTGTATATCCCATTTTGTATTTTATTTGTTGGTTGGTTCGTTACCTGATTAAGAGTCTTGTTTGAATCAAGCACTCTTGGCCATTTCAATTCCCTATCCATTTCATGCATATATGGTGCTCCTGATGCAAAAAAAAAAATGGCAACACATTTTTCATAAAACTGCCAGTTTTATTTCGATCATGGCTTTTTACAAAAGATGAGTACAAAGTTTTAAAGCAAAATAGAACTTCCTAAAGTTATACATGTGCTAATGCTACTAACAAAAAGAAACTAAGCAAAGTACAAATAAATCAGTGCTAGTCGCCTCATACACTAAAGGCCCTCTTCGTCCTCTTCCTCGGAGGAGAAGACTACCACTGTCGCTATCAGCACCGCTGTCTAACTCAGATGCCGAACCGGAATCGGAATCATCACCGCTCTCTCCTCTGGAGCCTAACTCAATATCACCTCCACTTTCAGATCTCGAGCCACCGTCATCTCCACTCTCGGAGGACTCAAACTGCGAAATCACCGCCTCCTCGGAGCCATTGGTCACAGCATCATTATCACTCAACACTGGCTCCGGAAGGCTCCTCCAGTCTCGGCCACGATGCTCCTCTTGGCTGCGTGCTGGGGCCCGTCTCTCTCTCCTCTCTACTGCTGGAGGTGGTGGTGATGATGCAGGCGCAGTCGTTGTCGCTAGTGTTCTTAGTATGCCTGGAACTTGAAAAGATACAGTATTGATGCATCAGATACAAAGTATAGTTGCAGATGCAGTATAATGAAAATGGAAGAATGTAATGAGCAAGATACAGTGCAACATATCAGTATGATGTGACAAGCGACAGAATGTATACCGTGGTATGACTATCAATGCTTCAGTGAGAATGGTGTGTACAACAGTGTGGAAAATACTAAAATGTGGGCATAGAATAGGGAAAATTACCTTAATACCGTACAGACTGAGCAGCGCCTCTCTCCGCTGCACCATGTCCATCAGGGAGGCAATCAGCTCAAGAGCCCTCCCCGTGTGCTCTGTAGAGGGCTGCAAATGTATTTGGGTGATCAGTATCTGCAATGAACATATCTGAAATGAAATGTAGAATGCAAACGTAAAGAATGGTCCATACCTAAGTCGAGCCTCGAACCCCAACAAGTACATGCCTGGCCGCTGCGGGCTCAATCAGGACTTGGTAGGGATCCCCGGTATGCCGCCAGCATGTCAACTCGGTCGGAAGCTCTGGCCAACCGATGACCTGCCCAGTGGGAAGGGCCCCTCCAATCCTAGTCCTTGTCGTCCGAGTCTTACCTGCTGTAGGGGCACCTGCTACTCTACCTGCATGAGTGCAAACACCTATCAAGGGAGGCATGAGGTATGTCTGGATGAATGTCGAATAATTCCCCTCCCTGCAGAAGTAGTTGGCATTCAAGCCCTCCGTGAACTGGATCATCTCCTAGAATGAGAGGCTCTCCGTGGCCCTCATAGATACTGGAGGAGACATGGGCACTACTGGCTCAGGCAAACCCATGGTCTGGAACATGAGGCTTGGCAAACTGGGCCCTCTAGCAGAAGCCAAAAACGGGAAGCCCCCCAAATATCGGCATACTGGTCCCTGACTCCAACTGGCATCGTTGCCCAAGGCTGCCAAGCGATCTGTAAACAAAGGATATACAGATGGTTAGTCATCATCAGTTGTTGATAAAGCAAAAATAACTGAGTTTGGGTTACCTCCCCCGCAGTTATTGTATCAAAGTACCGGCGGAAGAATGAGAAGGTCTTCCGGGTCCTCCGTAGGCATCTGTTGTCGTATCGATGAGAGTATGGCACAACAGGGGGCATTTTCATCTCTGGCTTCGAAACAAGGGTCGGGAAATATGCATATACCCAAAGCTGCAAGGAAAAGGCAACAGTGAGTATACAGTGTATAGCTATAGAGAATGCAAAATGTGTGTATAGTGTACAGAAAGTACAAATACAAATGAAGAACGTAGAATGTGTAGCACAGTGTACAGGAGTACAGATATAATGGATGCAGAATGTGCGATGCAGAAAGCGCAGTGTATAGATGTAAACAATGCAGTATACAGTGTACAAAAAGTGTAAAGCAGAAAGCACATAAATGGAAGATAAAAATGTAAAGCAGAGATGTGAAGCATACCTCCCAAGCTCTCCAATAGCCTCTGACCTTGTCTCTCCTTCTGCGGGATGTCGAGCTCATGTAGCCATATAGTGTAACGAGGCCAGCTCCTCCCTAATCATAGAGCCGGACCTGAGGTAAGTTCACCAGGGCACTTAGGAGATACAGCCCTACGATGTTCCACCTATTCGCAAACAAGGTACTGAAGAGGAACATCAAAAAGCCCTGAGCATAATGCTCGATCTTCTCTAGGGTCTCTGGCTCTCTCCCTCGGAAGTGCTCTGCGAACCAGCTATATCGTACCATCCCTGGTTGGAAGAGAGGTGGGTGTGCTCCTAGTAGGTGTAGCCAGGAGGCCTTCCACTCACCCATGTCCATATCGTAAGGGATCAAATTATCCCCTACTTCTACGCCCGTGAGCTTGGCGAAGTCATAGGGAGTCATCGTCATCTCCCCGGTGGTGGAGAAGCGAAAGGAGTTGGTGATATCCCACCACCACTCCACTAGTGCACCAAAAAGCGGTCGACTCGCAATATGGCACGATGGCCTAGTGCAAAATAAGCCGAAGCCGGCCTCATCAATAATGTAGCGAACACCAGCAGGGGGCCCCATATACCAGTCCCTCGTGAACATGGCTCCATAGCCCCTAATAGAGCGAGAGTCCTCCTATTATCAGAACAGTGATATACAGTGATATGAGAACATGCAGATGAAAAGGCAGTGTAAGAAATACAGTGCAAGAGTGTGATTAAGGCAAGAAATGCAGTATAAGCATTATAGTTAAAGCAAGGAACACAGCTAAAGCAAGAAATGCAATGTGCGGTGAAGAAAACGTGAGAATACAGTGTATACCTCAGTGGCGCCGTAAGATAAATGGGAGTCCAGCTCTCGTAGTAAGAGGTCCTCTGGTATGCGTCGTGCAAACTCTCTGAAGTGTCTGATACCCCCGAGTGGTAGCACATGTGTCTGAGGATGGTATGTCACCAGATCAAAGGGGTGTACTCCCATCGGTAATATCTCAAGCTCAAGCTTGGCCTCCATCTCTACCGGAGGTGGAATCTCGAACGGAGCTCTGTCATGGGGTAGATCATCCGCCATCTAGAAAGAAGATGTGAAAGTGGTGAAAAATGAAGAAAAACAAAGGAAAAAGGGAAAACTTGGAAAAAGTCAAACCCTAGGAGAGAAAAAGTGGAAGAAAAAGTCAAAGCCCGAAAAAAAGCACCAAACCCGAGAGAAACTCGAGGGGAACAAGTCTCAAGTGGTGAAACTCCAAGAAAAAACACCGAAATCAAATTTCAATCGGTTCAAAACGAAGTAAACAAAGAGGGTTTAGCGAATAAACTTCGTGTGACGTGTTGAAAAATGCGTAGAAAGCGCAGATCTAGAAAGAAAGAGCACCTGAAGAGAGAGAGAGGGAACAATTTCGGTCTTAGGGTTGTGAAGAAATAAAACCCCAAGCCTTATACTTAAAGACCCATGGGTGAAAAGACCAAAATACTCGAATCTGCCACGGGTGGCCAATAGACCACATTGGTGGCTAGCAATAGTTATTGAAGGCTGGCAGGTGGCCAGCGGCCTCTTCCAGTGGCCGGCAGGTGGCTCATTGCTTTCCTCTGAGTCCTAATGCTGTTTTGTGTCCTTGGTTTCCAAGAATTGAAGGGATTGTTCACTGTTGGGTTCAAATTGTCTCTACGGCAGCTTGAAACTGTGTTTTCAGTGCGCGATGTTCATCACTTGTCAACGTGAACGAGATATATCCTTTAAACATATGGCAACTCTTCCAAGAGGCAAATTAGAAGTTGTTACTAATTTTTTTGTCAAGTTATGCATTCGTACCTGCACTTCTCTATTGTTGCATGGAACATGCATTTCACTTTGTGGCACGGAATGTGTATTTCATATATTTTGTTGCTTAAGATATGCATTTCACGCATATTGCATGCACGTTTTGCATCCATTATGAAGCATGCATAGAATATACTTCCGCTGTTGTATCATGCATGGAATATGCTTCAATTTGTTTCTCGCATGGAACATGCCATTATCACACTGTATCACACTTGTCATACAGTATCCTTACTGTGTCACACTTGTTAAGTTTCTTTCTTACACATGCACGATATTGAATGTACGGTTCATTCGAGAAAATGCACGATATTGTATGTATGGTTCATTCAGAGGAGTTCCAAGTAAAATCATTCGTGCCATATTTGAATCATATCCTTTTTCCACTCAGTTAAAAACATTCGAGTGCAGCCAGTGTTCACACCACCTTTCCTCCTCTCACGTGCAACGTGTTAGGATTCAACTCAGTTAAAAACATTCAAGTGCGCCCGATGTTCACACCACCTTTCCTCCTCTCGCATCCTGCTAGGATTCAACTAGGTTAAAAACATTTGGGTGCCCTTAATGTTTACACCATTTTTCCTCATGTCGCGTGCTGCGCATTAGGATTCAACTCGGTTAAAAACATTTGGGTGCACCCGGTGTTCACACCATCCCTTCCTTCTCTCGCGTGCAACGCGTTAGGATTACAAATCGGTTAAAAACATTCAGGTGCGCCTGGTGTTCACACCACCCCTTCCTCCTCTCGCGTGCAACGTATTTGGATTGCAAATCGATTAAAAATATTAGGGTGCACCCGATGTTCACACCATCCCTTCCTCCTCTCGCATGCGATGCATTAGGATTGCAAATCGGTTAAAAACATTCGGTTGCGCCCGGTGTTCACACCACCCCTTCTTCCTCTCACATACGACATGTTGGGATTGCAAATCGATTAAAAACATTCAGGTGCGCCCGGTGTTCACACCACTCCTTCCTCCTCTCGCGTGCAATGCGTTAGGATTACAAATCGGTTAAAAACATTTGGGTGTGCCCGTTGTTCACACCACCCCTTCCTCCTCTCGCGTACGACGCGTTAGGATTGCAAATTGGTTAAAAACATTCGGGTGTGTCTAGTGTTCACACCACCCTTTCCCCCTCATGCGTGCAACGCGTTACGATCTTGGTTGAAACCTCAAGTGCGCCCAATGGTTACGTCGCCCTTCGCCTTTCATGTGCGATGCGTAGTTAAGCTTACATAATTTTCTTATATCATTTCTGCATGAAATGTGGTTTGGCTTGTGATTCCCATGCGTGGCGTGCTTATTTACTTACTTTTTTTCATGTCTGAGATTGTCGTACCTTGTTTCGGTTTGTTTAAATGTGGCATTTTCATTGTATTGCATTTGCATTCAAATGTTTCATTGCACAGCCTCATTGCATGATCATAAGTTATGTTCTTGCATTTTGAATATTGTTTGCATTTCGCCCTAGAACTACGCTGGTTTGATTCCTTGCAAAGGGATACGTAGGTAGCCTGAGGGTGCAACCATTTGTTTTCTGTCTTGTTTGTTTGTCTAAGTCTTTCGGCCTTATTAAAATGGGTCATCTCTGGGCTTTGACATTCACTCATGTCATTTCATGACTTCTGAGTTCTGTCAAAGAGGGGCAACTGTAAACATCCCATTTTTTGCCGTCCTCAAGACTTGAACTTCATCGCTTGTGCACTCGATGATTGTGACTATTTGTGCTCGTTTTAGTGCCTAAAGTCCTCGGCGAAATGCCCTGTCTTTGAGCCTTCAAACCCCATCCATTTTGTGCCCTATTGTGGACCAAAACCTTTAAGCCTACAACCCTTGGTGGCTGCCGGCCACCAGTGCCCTTTTTGCAGATATTTTGTTGACAGCTATTCCAGCTGTTGGCACAATGGGCTTCATCTCCCTACACGTGTATAGAGGGATATTTCTCAGCCAAAAATGCCTATTTTTCTATATATATGGGGTCTTCTCCCCCATTTTTTAGGGTTAGAAAATTTGGAACAAAAATCTCTCTCTCTCTCTACATTTCTCTCTCTCTCTTGCAAATTTGTGCATACTTGCCTACTTACACTACTTTTTTGCATACGTCTCATTAACCAAAGTTGATCATCTTTGAGCTGAGGTTCCTTGAAGCCTTCTTGGAGCTCTTGAATGTGGTTTTGGCTTGAATTAGTGCCTCGAATTGTTCTTTGCTTCAAGAGCCATCATGCAATAAAATTGCTTGATTGATGGTTTGAGGACCAAGTGTATCACTCCTTTGAGATGTTTTGATGATAAGGAGGGATACACAGTGCAAACAACCTGTGAGAATACTCTCTCTTTGCCCTGTTTGCTCTCTGTTGCAGCAAAAAAATATGAGTCATCAATGGCTGACCGGCCACTGTTACTGGCCGGCAGGCCATCAGTGTTGAATGGCAACCCCTCAGTGGTGGCTAGCCGGCCACCAATGAATTTTGAGTAGTGTGCTTGTCAATCATGGCAAAGTTGATCTGGAGAAGGAAAATAGTTCAAGGGTTGTGCAAACAGAGGCTTTCAAGAGCAAACAACGGATGTTCTTTGGTGAAAACCAAGCATGCATGGGCCCCTCTCGCTTCCCGAGACTAGTTAACTAGTTAATTAGTTTAATTAGCAATAGATCATTTATTTGTTGTAATTGATTAGTTGTAACTAATTAGTTTGTGTTGTAATTAATTAGTTGTAACTAATTAGTTTACTTATTTAATTAGTTTAGATTAATTAAGTTAGTTCATGTTGTAATATTTAATTAGCTTAGCCTAGTTAAATTCTTAGCTTAGTTTAGCTATTTATTTGGTTTGTAATAATTAGCTTAATTAGCCTAACTTAGTTGCTAGTTAGCTTCTATTCATTCGGACTTTCCTTCGTGAGAGCATGTTGTAATAATGTGCATGTCTTCCAACCCCACGTCTTTCTCCCTTTTATTTAACTGCTTTTGATGGTTAGATTAAGGATGTGTTTCAATTAGCATACCTTATGCTTGCATCCATTCATTTTGTATTGCATGCACTAAGGCTCGGTGTATCATTCAAACTGCATTGTCATTTCAATACTTCGTTGAACACGTGCTTAGGCTGCATGTCTTGAATTAATTCATATGCCACATTAGTAACCGAGCCTAATAATTGCATATCACATGTGTTGTATTAGCCATCTTGTATAGTTAGGAATCATGCATTTTTTCTAACCCTTTTGTTTTATCTTAGCTTGGAGTACTTGGTGAGTTTTTAACGCTTTAGCATACTTGCATGAGTGTGAGTGATTGCAATGACTAGCATGCTTGCCATGAGGCTAAGTGCTTGCTTGTTGAATTGTTTGAATGCCTATGGATGAAGACTTGTTGTTTGAATTGGAACGATTCAATGTATGTACGGTTAAGCCCACTTTATTGTGTGGCAAATTTGCAAACTTTAAGCCCACTTGAGGTGGCAAAATCAAATCCTTTTCGAAAAACAAGCATGAAATTGAGTTGTTCCAATTTGAGCAAACTAGTCTATACTTGTATGCGCGCATCACATAGTAATGCTAGCCTAATAATTGGAACAAGAGCATATAATATTGATAAAAATCATATCATGATTAGTAGAGGCCAATCTTTGATCGAGCTAGCGAGGGTGCTCAATTTATGACCTTTCCCCTCTTGTAACTAAGTTCTTGAGCTAAGGTAACTTTGGTGGTGACAGACACATGGCCTTTGGCACGAGTCATGGGTTCCCCAAATTTCTCCAAAATAAAATATTTAGGTGGCGACTCTGTATCTGGCAAAGCAGTCCATTTTTGGATTTTGATTCAAAATCAATTTTTCAAATGATTTGTCGGATTTGGACTCTTTGGTGTTTATCGATTCCACATTACACTTGTGAGATTAGATTTAGAACCGCGGGAGTCCGAACTGTAGGGCTTTCTTTCGAGTTTCCGAAATGGGGGGCAAAAAAGGCAAGCTACACCCTTGTATTTAGCTATAAGATTGTTTTGTATCCTTTGTGTAAGACTTGTGAATTCCTTATATTGATCCTTTGTTTTGCTGTAAGTGGTGAGAATTTGTGCTGTTGGTAAGTTGATTTAATATTATTGTTGGGTTTAATTTGGGTGCATTTGGCATTGAGTGGTTAGTGGTGGTCATAATTAAGAAGTATTTAGTTTTGCTTGATAGTGGATGATTCCTTATTTTAATTTTATTTCATCATGGTTATGGTGATGTTATCTTAGGAGAAGTTATTC